TCTTCAGGCAAGCTTTGGTAGATGACAAACAAAAATCACCACACCAAGATCCAGCTATCAAAGTATTCAGGTCCCTTTTGACTGCCCTAATTAACATGCCCCATCAAAACAGAACACCTCATCCTTACATGTGGTTCCCCCTTTATCTTTATAAACTGCCATTTGCTTGTGGGCTGTGTCTGTCTCCTCTCTATCCAGAGGCAGTCCTTTGTCCCTCTGGGACAAATATCCCTTCCTCCCTACCTTGTTCCCTTCCTCTTCACCCTCATTCTCAGTCTCTTGTCTTTGTCTCTTATTCCCTGCCTTTTTGTCCTTCTGGGCAAATAAATATCCTTTGTGCTGAGAACTTGGTCTTGGGGTGTCTTGTACCGAATACTGGTCCCTTCCCATATGACCTGAGACTCTAGCTAGACCTACCATCTACAGGCTCTACCTTCTCTCAGTAGCCCCATGGGCTGGGAATTAAGTCCTCGACACATAGCCTTTGGAGGTAAGTTTTTAAATCAACTTTATTTTTTAGAGCTTTAGTAAAATTAAGTAGAAAGTACAGTTAGCGTACATCTGTATTCTATTGCACATGACAGCTTCCATCACTGTCAACATTAAAGCAAAGTCACCTTGCAGCTGATGAACCCACACTGACGACATTCTTCCCAGAATCCACTGTAACCTTAGTGTGGTATATTCTATGGGTTTGGATAAATGTGTAGAGACAAGTGTCCATCAGTATGGTGTCATGTACAGTACTGTCAGTCTCCTTAAGTTCCTCTGTGTTCTGCTTATCCTTCATCCACTCCAACCCCTAGCAATTCTGATCTTACTTTCTTACCATTCTCTTTTCTAGTCTAGAGTGTCATGATGTTGGGATCTCATAGTGTGCAGCCTTTCGTACTGACTTCTTTCACTTACCAGTGTGTATTTGTTCCTTCCATGTATTTTCCTGGCCTGGCAGCTGACTTATTTGTTCTGAATAATGTGCAATTTGTCTAGATATACCATGGTTTATCCATTCTGCTAGCAATATGAATGTTTTATTTCAAGGATATGGATCACTTTATACAGGTTTTGTGTGGACAGACATTTTCAGGTTCTTTGGGTAAATATCAAGAATTTTTTTTGTTTTTCTTTTAAACTTTCTTTCTTTCTTTTTTGAGACAGGGTTTCTTTGTGTAACAGCTCTGACTGTCCTGGAACTCACTTTGTAGATCAGGTTGGCCTCGAACTCACTGAAATTCACCTGCCTTGCCTCGAGATCCATCTGCCTTGCCTCCAAGTGCTGGGATTAAAAGCATGTGCCACCGCTGCCCAGCAAGAAACAATTTTTGGATTTGGATCATAGTAGCAGTGTGTTTTGTAAGAAGCACAAAACTAAGGCTACATATAACTTAGTGGTGTATGTAGTGGGTGTAACTTAGAGAGCTGAACTAGCTCATGTGTGGCCCTGGGTTCCGTTCCCAACGTCACACAGACACACACACCACCCAACTGTCCAAGTGGCTATGATACTGCGCATTCCAAACAGCAGTCAAGAACTTCTACTGCTCCAGTATCTTTTGTTATCTGTGTTCAGGATCTGGGTTAGGTATCTATTCAGGTATGCAGCTGCCATGTGGGTGCTGGAAATTAAACCCAGGTCTCTGGAAGGGCAGCCAGTGTTCTTAACCACTGAGCCATCTCTCCAGCCCCCAAACTTAATTTTTATTGTTGAGCTGTAGTCAGATTTTTCTTTGGGCTACTAGCTTGCAAATTAATGACACAGAGACTTATTATGAAAGCCTGGGCTTAGCTTAGTCTTGTTTTCAACTGTCTCTTGTAACTTAAATTAATCCATTTCTATTCTGCATTCTGTCATGTACCACCCATCCTGCTTCCTCTGTACCTCCTTGAAGCTCTCTCAGGAGCCTAGATTCTTCCTCCTCCTTTCTCTCTCTGCCTGAAAGTCCCAGTTGTTGGCCGTTCAGGTTTTTATTACACCAATCACAGCGATAAACCTTCACACAGTGTGCAAATGTCCCACAACACTGAGCTTAAAGAGTTCATTGTACATCTTGGTCTACAGAGTGAGTTCCAGGACAGCCAGTGCAGTTACACAGAGAAACCCTGTCTTGAAAAACAAAAAACCAAAACAAAGCAAACAAAGAGTTTACTATAAGAGCTAGCAGGGTGGCTCAACAGGTATATTATTTACAAAGAATTCACTATAGAGCTAGCAGGACGGCTCAGCAGGTATATTATTATTATAGAGCTAGCGGGACGGCTCAGCAGGTGTATTACTATATATATTATTATTACAGAACTAGCAGGGTGGTTCAGCAGGTGTATTATAATATATATTATTATTATAGAGCTAGCAGAATGGCTCAGCAGGTGTATTACTATATATATTATTATTATGGAGCTAGCAGGATGGCTCAGCAGGTGTATTATTATTTTCTTTTCTTTTGCTGTAACAAAACACTGTGACCAAGGCAAGGCAATTTCAAAAAAGAATTTGTTTTTGATTATGGTTTCAGAGGGATAAGAGTCCATCATGGTGGGGACACATGGCAGCAAGCAGCAGACATGGCTGCAGGAATAGGAAGCTCAGAACTCACATCTTCAAACTCAAGCAGGAAACAGAGAGAGCAAAGTGGAAGTAGGGCGAGGATACGGCTCTCAGAGCCTATGCACGCTGACATACTTCCTCCAGCCAGCCTGCACCTCCTAAATGACCCCAAAGAGCACTGCCAGCTAGCGACCAGGTGTTCAGATGTCCTATGGGGGTCATTGCTTATTCAAAGTACCACAACAGGTGAAGGTGTTTGCTGCCAAATTTGAGTTTGCTGACAATTTGAGTTCGATTCTTGGGGCTCACATGCTGAGGGAGAGAACCATTTCCTACAGGTTGCCCTAGTCTTACCTGCCAACTGGCACATGGGTACCCTGGCCCAAAAATAATTAAAAATGTAGTGAAAGAGTTCTTTATATATTTTAGTTACTAGTTCATTATTTTCTGTTAATATTTTCCCCAGTCCGTGGCTTTTCTCTCATTCTTTCTACAGTGCCTTTCTCAGACTAGAAGCTCTTAATGTTGGTATTACACCATCCCCTCTTCCTTTCATGGGGTTACTTTGGTGTTGAATCTAAAAATTCATTGTCATACTAGAGATCATCTAGGTTTCCTCCTATGTCATCTTCTAGTTTTTCTCTTTATATGTAGGTCTCTGATCCACTTTAATTTTTTATGAAGCATGTAAGTCTGTTGCATGTGAATATGTGTTCCAGTACATGTGTTGAAAAGGCCCTTTTGGGGGGCTGGAGAGATGGCTCAGCAGTTAAGAGCACTGGCTGCTCTTCCAGAGGACCTGGGTTCAAGTCTCAGCACCCACATGGCAGCTCATCACTGTCTATAACTCCAGCTCCAGAGGTTTCGATGCACATAAAATAAAAATAAACAATTTTTTTTTAAAAAAAGGAAAGGGGGCTGGAGAGATGGCTCAGCAGTTAAGAGCACCAACTGCTCTTCCAGATGTCCTCAGTTCAATTCCCAGCAACCATATGATGGCTCACAACCATCTGTAATGAGATCTGGTGCCCTCTTCTGGCCTGCAGGAATATATGCAAGCAGGACACTGTATAATAAATAAATAAATTAAAAAAGAAAGAAAGAAAGAAAATATCCATTTTCTACTAAATTGCCTCTGCTTTTCAGTCAGACCAGTTGGTGAGGCTTGTATCAGTTTAGAGCTCTCTCTCTCTTCTCTTTCTGACCTCTTTATTCTCTCACCAGTTCAGCAGTCTTGATAGCTTGGCTTTAGAGTCTTTACATCTGGGAGGTCTTTGACTTCGCTTTCCTTCTTCCATGTTGTAGCAGCTATTCTGAATCCATTTGCTAATCGTGTTTTATGCCTAGTTTTCGGATGTTTCTCTCAAGAACTTGCAATTTCACTGTGCTGTGTTTCCGTATAGACCCCTTTTCTTTATTCTGCTTGAAATGCATTTATCATTGCAGGGTTAATCCCCAGCCATTCTCTCTTTAGACGTTCACCATCCAGCCCTGTTCCTCCCACTCTATGCACTACTCTAAGTAGACCAGTCTCCCACCTTCTCTCCGACAGTCATGGGCACTCTGCAGTGTCTGACATTGTTACTGCTTGTGTTGCATTCTGGGAGATTTCTTTTGATCTGTTTCAAACTCATCAACACATTGTTCTGTTACAGAGAATAAAGTCCTTTCATTTGCTTTTTACTTCTAGAAGTTCTGCTTGGTTATTCTTTTTTTACTCCATGGCATTAAAAGTTGTTATATTTTTAATAGATATTTCAAGCTACTCATTTCCTCCATTAATTTAAATACCATACAGTTTTATTGTCTGTAGCTGATAATCTCTGACATATTTTTGCAGTCATTTCTACTCATTCTTGCTGAGTTTATTCCACTACAATCTACTCAGTTAGCTGGAAAGATTTATTTTACAAGGATGTTGCTGTGCGCTTTGCCAGAAAGTGACACTTCCTTGTCTTCTGTTTGGCGTGAGACGTGGTTTAGATGTGGCTGTTAGTAAATGTCATCTACTTTACCTTATCCTGCACGGGGGCAGCCTTTGGCAGCTCTGATCACGCCTGACTATGCCAGCAGTGAGCTGACACTGACCCGAATGCCTTCTAGGGTGGAAGCAGAACCCTGGTCACTTGGGCTCAAACGGGCCCGGCTTATGCTGCCCTTCTCACTGTGTGGGGGATGCCCACAAACCCTGTCTGAGGACTGTGGTTCATCCCAGGTGGAGCCTACAAGAGAATTTGTGGGTAAAACTGGGTAATGTCTAGTATTTGATTTGAAATATTTTACAATACTGCCCCCCATCTTTTGAGGATTGTAAGAAACAGTTGACAAAAATTGCTAAAGCAACATGGGGTCCATTACACAGTTCAGATTTTGGACATGTTTAGAATTTCCTTGAGAAACTCTTGCCCTTTCCTCTTTTTAAAGTCACCTTGGTTCTTGCCCTCTGACTCCCCAGGCCGATGTGATGGCAGACAGGGTGCCCCGATGCTCTGTCTGTACTGGCGTTGTGAAACCTGACATTGTGTTCTTTGGGGAGCCGCTGCCTGCAAGGTTCTTACTACACGTGGCTGATTTCCCCATGGCAGATCTGCTACTCATTCTTGGGACCTCCCTGGAGGTTTGTTGAAAGGCACGTGGGGATGGGTGGGAGGGTAGAGGGCTTGGAGGGGGTAGGTCCTGGTTGATGGTGCTGCCTTTTCAGGTAAGCAGAGTCAATGATAGTGACATCTCAGGGTTTGGGAAGGTTAGCTATGAGGCAGGATGGAAGGGACTGATCCAGACCCAGAGCTGTCCTTTGGGATGGAGAACAGATGGCAGTCCCAACGTGACCTTTGGTGGAAGAAGGTTGGCTGCAGCATCATCAGTTTAGCTGGTAGGATGCAGTCGAAGGACCAGTTGGGGTCTGCATGTGGGTATGTGGCTCCTGGGAGATGACCACTGGAGGTGGACAACGGGTGATCTGCCTGAGTCTGAATGCTAGGAAATTTCCAAAAGGCCTAAAGAAGTAAGACCTGGGGTGGGGCCCAGCTGTATGTAGTCATTGGGGCAGAGGGGCCAAAAAGCGCTCTGTTCAGGAGACCAGATGTGCAAAGGCTTAGGGTTGTGTGAACCCTGCCTGTCCCTGCTACTGTGTGATGTGAGCCAGGCCAGTCCTGGTGCTTTAGACCGCTAAAGTGAGATTTAAAACTAAGGCACCATTAGGGGTGATGTGCACAGAGGAAACTATAAATGAACATTGTGATGGGGGCTGGGGAGGGCTTACATTGCAAATGTGGCGGCTGCTTTGTGTGAGCCTTGTCCATAAATCTCAATAAAGAGGCAAGGGTATCCACTTAAGTTTTGGCAGGGCACCCTATAGTGTCCAGCAATGAGGCCAGGGTCATGAGGATGATCAATAGGAAGTCTGGTGCCCTGACTCTACTTAAAAGACTCCTGTGGGCTGTGCTGTGATTGGCCCTTACTGGTGGGGTTGGATGGTGCTGGCAGGAAGTAGGTAAACCATCAGGGACCCAGAGCTGTAGGTGTAAAGGCGGAGAGCACTATGGCATGTGGGACATGGGCGAACTGAGCTGCCACAGGACTAGGATGTGCCCTGCTCCTGCTGGGTGGCACTGAGGAGAGCAGCGCAGACAAATACCTTGTATGTACTTGAGGTAACAAAAGGAGGATGTGGGAGGCAGAGTCAGGAGGGACCTGGGGAAGGAACTGGGCGAAAGGTGAGCAAGCGGAAGATTCCAGAGAGCTGTCAGATACAGGCCTGGAATAGAGGATAGGCTTGGGTGGGGTAGGGGACAATTAAGGGTCAGTGGGTGGGTCCTCTGGTCCGTGGTACTTAGGAGTGTATGGGCCCAGTCCTGCTGGTTATGACAGCGATCAGATAAGGACACTAAGACTACATCCTTATTCCTGAAGAAAAATGAAAATAGCCTTTTCCCTCTTGGTTGTCAAAGTACCATATTGCATTTTTCTTTGAGACAGGGTCTCTCTACATAGCTCTAGTTGTCTTGGAACTCACTATGTAGACAAGGCTGGCCTTGAATTCAAGAGATTCACCTGCCTCAGCCCACAGAGTGCTGGGATTAAAGGTGTGCGCCACCACCACCTGGCCAACCATATGCTGCTTTTAAAAAGACTCATTTATAACAACATAGTTAAAATGAGGAATCTTTACTTCTTTTAAACCTTATTTTTTTATTCTATGTATGTGGGTGTTTTATCTGTATGTATTTCTGGTGCCTGTGGAGACAAGAAGAGGGCATGATTCCCAGGAACTGGAGTTAGAGCTAGTTGTGAGCTGCCATGTGGGTGCTGGGATTTAAACCCCAATCCTCTGGGAAAGCAGCCAGTGCTCTTAACCTCTGAGCCACCTTTCCAGCCCCAAGAATTAGCTCTAAGCCCAGTAGCTATTAATATTCTGGCCTGTTCTCTTTTTTGAGTTCTTTTCTTGGAGACAGTTGGCCAGAGGCTGAACACTGTTATGTGGATGGTGTGTACACCCGTCTGGAACAGCCTTGCTGGTGTCCTGTGCCTTTGAGTGTGAGGCCCAGCCAGGAGGAGAGGGTTGACAGATCTGCAGTGTCCTGGATTCCATGGGTATGGAAACAATAGTAACATGCTAGATTCTGGAGTACCCAGGATCTCCACTGGGTCTTATAATGTAGCTATAAAACCATTTGATCTTTTTAAAAATCTAAAACATCCAGAATTCTGAAACATTTCCAGTCATAAGGGTTGTAGGACAAGGAATTATGGACCTATAAGAAAAACTCTGTAGGCAGTTATTTATTGATGGATAGTAGAGACAAATAGTATTTTTGTATAGTCTGCCTGTGGTGGCTGTCCTTGTTTGTTTACACCATGCAGGGACTTCTGCGGGACAGATACTGATAGTGTATCAGGGACCATTTCCCCGTATTTCCACCAATATCAAAAGGACATGTTTTACTTTTCTGCCAGTGTGAAGTTAAAAATAGGTTTGAGGGATGCTGATGGGGCTTAGTGGCTTACTTGCCCAGCATGTACAAAACCCGGGTTAGTTCCCCACCATGTGGTGTGAAACTTGTATGTGACAGTGCTCCGGTCACTTTCTCACCTCAGTTATGTCTAAGACATCTTTTCCTATACCCTTACCTATAAACTCTTAATATTTGTTTATGTGCATGCCAGAGGACAATTTGTGCGAGTCATTTCTCTCCTTCCACCATCTGGGTCCTGGGGATCTAACTCAGGTTGTCAGGTTTGGCGGTAAGCTCCTTACTCGTTGAGCTATTAAGGCCTTCACTTATTTTTTCTTCAAGAATTGTTTTTTTCTAAACCAATTATCATAAAGTTCACTTTCAGAAGATCAATCTTTTGGAGCAGTTTCACTTTTCTAACATCTATCATCTTTAAGATTTATTTATTATTATGTATACAGCATTTTTCCTGCATATATGCCTGCAGGCAGGAAGTAGGCACCAGACCTCATTACAGATGGTTGGGAGCCACCATGTGGTTGCTGGGAATTGAACTCAGGACCTCTGGAAGAGCAGCCAGTGCTCTTAACCTCTGAGCCATCTCTCTGGCCCCCTCTTCAAGAATTGTTATTGAGACTTTTTGGCCTGTCTTGCTAATTTAATTTTTTTTTTTGTTTATGAGTGTTGACTTGTATATATATGTACACCCTGTGCCTGGTACCCAAGTACAGGGTACCCTGGAACTGGAGTTACAGACAGCTGTGAACTGCCATGTGGGTTTTAGGAACCAAACCCAAGTCCTCTGCAAGAGCAGCAAATGCTCTTAACTGCTGAGCTATCTTTCTAGTCCCTTATTTTGCTTTTTTGAGCTAAGAGTCTTATGTAGCCCTGTGTGACCTTAAACTTGCTGTGTAGCTGAGGATGACCCTAAGCAGCTGACCCTACCTCTGACTGCTGGGATTACAGGTGCACCACTACTATACCTGTTCAACAACTGTTTTGTTTACATTTAAATCCATAATATATTTGAAACTTCTTTAGTAAAAGGTGAAAACTGACCTTTTTCCTCTCAAGAGCCAGGCACAGCCCTTAATCAACACATTTCCTATGCTCTAACTCTTGGTGCAGACATATGATGGCAGCATTGCTCTTTAGGAAAGTGAGGGGCCCAGGAGGTGGGACAGTAGAATGTTAAGGGGTGCTTGCTCTTCTATGCCAGGCAAGTCTAGGAGAGGCTCAGAGCAGGGCCCGGGCCGAGTGGACAGAGCAGGTGAAGGAGGAGGATGACTGAAGGCGGAGCACGTAGACTGGGAGGAAGGACAGCTGTGGGGGAGAAGTCAGGGTTCGTGCATGACGAGCAGAAGAGAGGCAGGTGTAGATGGGAAGAAGTCACCCAGACCAGGGGCAGGAACCTTTAGAAACAAAGTGGCAAGCTCTTGAGTCACATTGTCTGCCTTGTCTTCTGCCCCAAGGTACCAGTGGCTGTGAAGCCCAATGTCCTGTTGGTACATGGACACGCTGCCCTTCACTTTGGGTTGTCTTTCAGGTGGAGCCTTTTGCTAGCTTGTCTGAAGCAGTACAGAAGTCAGTGCCCCGACTGCTCATCAATCGAGACTTGGTGGGTCCCTTTGCTTGGAGTCCTCGCAGCAAGGATGTGGCCCAGCTGGGCGATGTGGTTGAGGGGGTAGAAAGGCTGGTGGACCTCCTGGGCTGGACACAAGAGCTGCAGGATCTCATCCAGCGGGAAACTGGAAAGGTAAACGCTCTGGGCACAGTCCAAGAGTGCGTCCTCTTCTGGGCACTGACTTCAGTGCATTGCAGGCATTAGGAGGATGGTCCTCCTACATACTTACTTCCTACCCCACAACTCACTGGGACATCTTTCTGTGGCCTAGGGGAGGGAGATGGCTGAGAAGCTGACATTTCTCGGCACTCTGCACGGGACAGAGCTAACCAGGCATGATTTATTAATCAGTGTCATTATTCATTACAGCCATTGGGAATAGGAAGCCAGAGAACACTATGCTTTTGAGACTTTACAGTATCTGTGACTCAGAAAACGATTTCCTATGAGAATTATGTTATATTGTTTATTTTCTACAGTGGTACGCTAGCATTCAACCCCAACTCTATGATTATAGACAGGAGCATGGCCCAGAGGGTTCCACCACAATATATCTTAACTGATGTTCTGTTGTTGCTAAGATAGAATCTTAAGGAAATTCCAGCCCCTTATCTGTCTTGTGGCTCTGGGCCATGGCCAGCAGTCTCACCTTCACTGGCAAAAGCTCCCAGCCTCTCGTGCTTAGTCTGGGCTCTTAATGAAATGGAACAAAGAAAAGCAAGGACGAGCCTTGGCATTTACTGCTTCCACAGATGAGCTATGACTACCAGTATTATTTTTATCTTTTTGTTTCAAAGTTTGGCTCTTAGGGCTGAATGTACGCTGCTGGTGCCATTCTTGGAAAACAGTCTTTATTTAGCCACCCATGTTGTGCTAGGCCTTCTGGGATCCTTTTTCTTGTTCACTTTAAAGTATTTTGCTTGACTTCAATGACTGATCCAGGTCTGGGATCCAGCCTGAATGTGTGTGAAATTAACTGCCCTCCTGTCTGTTCCAGCTGGATGGACAGGACAGATAAAACTGTTGTCACCTGCGGGAAAGTCACACAGGAGGTCCTCTCCAGGGAGACATGCCTGAAAACAGCTCGGACAGGCTTACAAATCCGGGCCAAACCACGTGTGACTTGGGTAACAGTCTTCTGAGGCTGCCTTCATCACACTGCAAAGGAGCTCCATGTGTCCCACCACTGCCGAAGCCTGTAATGCAGAGTGCGCCTTTCTGGCAGTGGTCCTTATAGTTATCAGGAGGGCAGCACAGCATGCCCATCCATCGCCAGACCAGGGATATACTAGGGTAATCTAGCATGCCCGTCTCTACAGAGGCATCTTTAACAACAACAACAAAAAATCATTTCTTGCATGAAATAAATTTTAGTATAAAACTTGGCATCCTTTCATTTGTGTCTTCAGGACAGTAAGCGTTAACATATTTCAGGTAATGTGGGTGTCCTCCTCTTGGGTGACAAGACTGAACTGAGCCTCTGTCCTTTGTCTCACCCTGGTATTAACACAGGCTCCTTTTCTACAGTCCCTCAGGCATCCCATCTGCCCAGCCCTTGCTAAGCCACTTTCCGCCATCCACCCAGGCTTCTCCAGCAACGGTGCTATAACCAATGGCAGCCATTACTCTGGGAGATCCCATGTGTCTCTTATTTTTCCTGTCCTACATGCAGCTATGATTAAGCACAGCTGCTTCCTCCTTGGCTCTTACCCAGAGGCATATAGTGTTGGCTGTTTCCCAGGCAGAAGTACCTCCTGTTACTGCACCCATTCTGACCAGGGCTGACAGGCAGACCAACAGCAGATTCCAGGGAACGGGGCCGCCTATCTTTGTTCTCCAATAACAGCAGATGTGCAATGATCTAGGAAATCTTAAATTCTAAATAGAATGGAATTAGTTTCTGTTTGATATCCTTTCACCTGGCTACTTCACAGATGTCCAGCCTTGTCCCAGACTCTCTTAGTCTGTGCCTCAGAAATCTCAGATTTTACCTCGCCTTACAACCCTTGCCTTCAACAATCACTAAACCAGTGCTTATGACTGACTGAGCTCTCACAGCCAGTGAGGCTCAGGTATGTGAACAATGCAGCGGTGGTTGGACCAGGACCAAGAACCTAGAAGAGGCCACTGGTCCTGTGCTCAGTGGGGCCACAAGTAGGAGCTGTGATGCTCTGTGTGTTTCCTGGCACACTTAAACAGTTCCAGTAGACTCTTCCATGTGTGAAACACAGCATATGCTCCACACATGGGCCCTGGGCTGGCATGCCAGCCCAGACATGCCTACACAATGTACACCTCCTAAGTCACCACCCTCATACATGCATGTTCATTTATGTGCCAAGGCAGCTCTGACCATGTCTGCAGCCATGGCATATGCTTGGCAAACGTCAAAGAAACAACTTCACTTGTAGAAATTAAGGGTGGCTTCCCAGTCTTCACAGAGAGTAAGACTACCATAGTCCTAAACACAAGAAACTGGACCAAAGGCAGATCATGGATAGTGTGGGGAGTAAAGAGAAAGGCTCCCCTGCTGGAGAGGAGTGTGGCTTCTCTAGGCAGCACCCCAAGGACACGTCTGGAAGCAGCACCAGGTCAGAAGGGGAGCAAAACCGCTGCCATCTTCAGTCAGGGTCTGAGTCGGGATCTGAGGACAGCTGCCCCTCCATAGTCTCACACATCGCATCTTGCAGAGAAGTGAGGTGACCCCGGGGACTCATCCCCATGGGTTGGATGACTTTGTGCCTGCAGGGAAAGCACAGTGGCTAGGGAGACCTAGTGTGCAGGGCAGGAGTCTTGCTCATTCTTGGCTACTACTTGGACTAGGTTAACTTAATCAGGCCCAGATCCTAACTGCCACCTAATTAGTCTTGAGATGTCAGGCAGTCCTTTGCATTTCTGTCCTCATTTTCATCATCTATAAACAGGACTTAATGCTAACTGTAGCCTCTTTTCTGGAGAGTTACCTCCAGGGCAAGCTATCTCAAAGTCTAATGCAGCCTCACTAGGATCCTAATCTCTGCTAAGCCAGTCTCCCTGGGCTCAGAAAACAGAATCGTTCCCATGTCTCCTAGCTACAAGTCTTCCTCACAACACATACCTGGAGAGTTTGTCGAACATGTTCACTAGCTTCATGGCCTCATGTTCCTTCTGCTCCTCTGTCATGCCTTCCATAGGATTGGGCGGCTTCTCTTCCACTCTTCCGGTCACAGGGTTGATGCTGCTTCCCAGGAATGGTGCGTGGGAAATGGGTTAGTGACGCTATAGGGAAAGTGGGGCTATGTGGGGCAGGAGGTCTCCATCTTCACGCTTAGGGCTGGGTTAGCCAGAACCCACCTTCCTGGTTTTGGTGGTGGTGAGACTTCAGAAGGGAGATTCCCCCACCTCCCAACCCCCGAACACCAGCAGACAACTCTTGCCCAGGACCTTCTGGTTCCCAGAGAGCCCACTTATTGGGCCTTGGTACATTCAGTATGAACATGAGTGCCTGATTTTAGGTCTTACCTATTCCTCAGCCTGTCCTGTGTTCTACTGGTTCTGGTTGGGGGCAAGGATAAGGGAATGGGGCTATGGAGGAACCCAAGTGTATATTAGGGGCACACACCTGGCCTTGGCCTCCCGGTACTCCTCTGTGTCGGTGTCCTCATCCTCTGAGTACTGGCCCTCGGGCCGGCCCCCAGCCATGAGGCCCCTGGCAGCTAGGAGACCGGCAGCATTCCCATAGCCTGTGTACTTGATGAATCGGGGCACTGAAGACCAGGGCAGAGGTCAATGTGTGAATATGGCTGAGGCAGGGAAGGCCTGGGGCGTGGGCTCCCCCAACTCACCACTCTCCGAGCATAAGACAAAGAGGAACTCAGCAGCTACCCTCTTCACATCTGTATCCAGGTGAGTCATGAGACGGACAAGCTTGTTTCGAAGTAGGTCCCCCACCTCAGGCCGCGTCTTCACATCTCTCAGAGGGGGCAGGACCTAGGGAGGCAGCTCTTCTGAGTGTTGGCTTGGAGCTGCCAGGGACCTATCAAGAGGATCTAACCCATGTTCCCCAGTTCCATCTCCTTTTCCAAGTACCTGAGCCTTCAGGAACTTCCTGGCAGGACGGTGCATGCGGGCACATTCCGTCAACACGCTCAGCACGGGTGCCACACACTCCTTCAGCCTGTGGGTCTGCAGAAGGGCTTTTGTCACTGTGACATGCCCCCCATGTAAGATGGGGGCACACTGCACCTTCAACAAATGGTTCTGGCAGTAAACTCTCAAGAGACCATGCTGTAGCAAGTCAGCTAAGGGCCAAAGGTAGCGGTGCACATTTATTAGCTTAAGAAAGTATGGAAACACTAAACCAGTCATGGTGGCACAAGCCTGTAATACCAGAACTTGGGAGGCAGGAAGATGAGACGTTTAGGGTCATCCTTGGCTACATAGGGTGTACAAAACCCTTAAGAAGAAAAAGGAATGGGAATAGGACTGACTTCTGGAAATGACTGAAAAGCTGTGACTCGGGTCAAACAACTCACTTCTTTAAGACTAAGTGCTACAACTATAAACCAGGGCCATGAACAAAACAAAGAGCGTCTGAAGCCGTTTGCACACCTCAGGTACACACTGCCCTCAAGAAACAGCAAAAACAAACAACAGAATCCCTATTCAAAGTGCCTCATGGACAGCAAGCAGTGTACCCATTCCTTCCCTGCCTTCCCATTATCTCCCTGGAGCCCAAATCCAGCAGTTACAGCAATAGGGGCAGGCAGTTACAGCTAGTATGTTCAGCACCAGCTCCTTTGGCCTCACCCAGCTCATAGGTACTAAGTGCTTTATGGCTCCTCAGAGATCTAATGAACCTCTCTATGGCTTTCCTCTGAGCTCCACAAGGATAGGCTAGATTCCCAGCTCTCTCAATATCCCAAAGGGTCAGGTAACCTTTGGTTATGTCTTCTTAGGATACAGAGGGACAGCTGGGGGAAAGGGGTGGGGTGGGGTGTCAGTCACTCTAATCCCCGGACTTGGGAGGCAGAGACAGGCTGATCTCTGAGTTCGAGGTCAGCCTAACCTACAGAGTGAGTTCCAGGACAGCCAGGGCTACTACACAAAGAAACCTGTATTTGTCTTGAAAAACCAAAATAAATAATAATAATAATAATAAACCCAAAACATCCAGAAGGACAACTGATGCTGTCATCTATGGCTGCCTATGTAAGGGAGCATTCGGAGTCTGAGGGTCACAAGCAGGAACCAAAGGCTCCTGAGAATCACTTAACAGAGAACCACATAGACCGTAAAGATAACATTCACCTTGACAGACCCTGAGAAACCTGCTTTTCTTTGGTAATCAGCAGTGAGGTTCACACACATGCTGTATCCACAAGCCTCTGAGAGGGTCTGACCGAGCGGCTCCCATCTGGTAAGGCCACAGAGCACAGAGGAACGGTCCAAGTTGGACCATCAGGCCGACCTCCACTTGCCAGTGGTGCAGAAACAGTAGCCACAACTGGGGCCAAAGCCCGTGGGTGTCCACACAGCGGGTCCTCCACCTACCTGGTGCAGACGCTTCTCAAGGAAGGCAAGAAGGGCACTGATCACTTCCATGTTGACTCCCATGAACTCTAAGGATCCTTCGTGTAGCTCCAGGGCGAGAAGGACATCCAGACATTTAAGGGGCAAGTTCCCCAGGAGGTTCACTGTGTGGCTGGGGACAGACAGACACCTTGACAGAGTAACTCTTTAGCACAGATGTAACCCCTGGCTCCTCTCCTGGGGCACACAGGATATAGGGGACTGAAGGACAGCACTGAGGACTAGAGGCAAGGGTAGGTGGTACCCCACGCAAGTTTGGTGGGGGAGACGGTAGACACTCCTCAGCCTGTCCCAAACGGTCTGAACTGAGATACCAGGCAATCTCTGGAAACCAAGGTCAGCTGAGGTACGTACTGGTCACCACCAGCAGGAACAGGAGATCACATTGCCTTATAATACCATGGCCACCATTGCCTCCACCTTAGCTCAGAGCTCCTGGGGCTCTGTGGAAACACACTGTTGTCCCAGTCCCCTGACAAAGTGATACTCTACGGGGTGACCTGGTGCTTCTGATTCACAGCTAGGGTTGAGGACTGCTGTACCCATGCCTAAGCACTCCCCTCACCGTGACACAGTAAGGCCTGCCCCTCACCCATGGAACTCCTCTGTGCGGTCTCCAGCAGCAGCGACCATCACACAGTGCCGCAGAAGGGTCCCCAGGTACCGGTAAAGAGCAGCGTCTTCCTAACCAAAGGCAGAAAGTGGCTCTTGTAAGAAGGGGTCCCTGTTCCTGTGCTCCAGGGTCACATAGAGCTGATCACTAGGCTCTGTCTAAAGCACACTCGGTGACTCTGGCTACTTGAAGCCTTGTGGAGAACACGTCCCCAGCCGGTGCACAACACAGCTCAGAAACCTTCCTTGAATTCCCGGCCTAGACTAGCCTATTGTCCTTGCCATACCTGACACCCTGGAACTTGAGACACGAAGGAAGCAAAAGCACAAAATGTCCCAGCTGCGCAGAGTCCCACCATGACTTTAGGCTACAGCTTACCTCATCCACCTCCCTCTTGACAGAGTCAAAGGTGATGTTAAAGAGCACTTTGAGGATCTCCATGGCCCGCTCTGTCTCCTGGGCCGGAAGTACCACCGGGGGCTTTTCTGTGGGGGCCACCCCCAGGGTCAGTTCCAGCGCATCCGTCAGCAGGCGCACGCCATCCAGCTCCTGAAATAGTTGCTGGCGCACATCAGTGCGAAGGGCTGTTAGCAGGAAGAGGAGCCTCAAGTCAAAGAACTGGACTTCGTGGGGATAGCTCCTTTTGCGGTAGAGTCCCACGCGCTCGGCTAGCCTCACCACCAGGCGAGCCTCTGCGGCTAGCATCTGTGCTGTCGGACTGCTGAGCACGAGATTGCACAGGCATTTGAGAGCCTCGAGGAGGACATCCATGTCTGGGGGCTGTGGGATGGGCTCCTCTGAGATGGTGATGTCAGCATAGCAGGCTAGAGCGTGTAGGCTCTGGCGGCTGGCAAATGAGTCCAGGCAGCTGCGGTCTCGGGACAGGATTCGAATAGCCTGCAGCCAGGTGACACGGTGTGATGGTGACAAGCCCTGCTCCAGGACGGAGACCAGGAGCTTTGCGAGTCTCTGTGGGGAGGGACAGAAATGGTTCCACCAGGCCCTCTTCTTGGGGCAGCTCATGCCCGCCCTCGGAGCCCCATGGGCCAACACCTACCTTCCTGTCCTCCTGTTGGGCATCATCGAAGGTGAAGCTCTGGGAGTGCTGCAGGGAGATCCAGTGCTTAGGTCTACATGCAGCAGGTAGGACCTGCGCTCAGAGCAGCCGGTCTGCTGCTACCTCTGAGGCAGCAGCCATCGCTCTGGACGTAAGGCAAGGCCCATCCTCGCCTCCCAAACAACTGCCCCGCCACTGAAACACCCGAGGCCCAGCCCGCGACCCATCGCCGTGCTCCCTGCCACGCTCGCGCGCACACCCCAGCCCCGTTGCGCGCACACCGCTGCTTCCTCTCTCCATGAAATTTCCTCGGCCGCTGCCGGGTGCCTCTCACCTCCCGGTTGAACGACTGCAGAGCTTCAGTCATTGCGTCTTCCTCTCCCGTCTCCAAGGCATCCGCAACTGCCCGGGGCTCCATGGCCCCTGGCACCGGGTGCTGGAAAGCTTGGGCCGGGAAGACGCAATCGGCCAAACCCAGGGGCTCCGCCCAGGTCCGGAAGTCCAGCGTCCACGCGTGAGGGATGCCGGGAGCGCCGCCGAGCCGAAAGGGTGTGTGCGGACGTGGGGCGGGTCCCGGGCTGAAGGTGGAGCCCACCTGGCCGCCGTGGCCGAGCAGGCGGCGGCTTGTTCCCGCCCCTCTAGCCGCAGTTTCTGGCAGGTGTGGAGCGAGGTGGGGGGGCTCGGCCCGCGCGTGTCCCGCCCTCCGTACGCGCTCGTCGCCGACCAGGGAGAGAGCTAAGGGAGCATTGTCCCCTGGCCGCTTAGTCGGCTGGGGTCGCACGGCGATTCTCGCGGTCCCGACCCGCGAAGCCCATGCTCCGTGGGGAACAGGGAAGGACAAGCAAAACGACTCGGGCGGTCCGAAGAGGGTGGCTAGCTCGGCGAGGTGGCGCACGCCGTGAGAGGCAGAAGCAGGCAGATCTGTGAGTTCTGACCCGGACAGGGATACATAGTGAGACCGGACTCAAAAGAAACAAAGGACTAAACCATCAAAATCATGTGGCCTTCCAAGGCAAAAGAAAGCTGCAGCGTGTGCGAAGAATGATCGGCGAGAAGTGAAAAAGCCCCGGAGAAAGCCACTCCCGTGGGAGGAGCCGCGGAGGGGCTGCCGCGCCTCGTCAGGGCGGACAAGCGATCGCGCGCGCTGCGTAATGAGTGGGGAGCCGGGTCCGCACGCCGCGTAGCTGAAGGCAGAGTCGGTGAAAGTGTACCCCACACATACAAGCCAAGCTCCAGTGGATGACCTGTCACCCGCTGAGCTGACCGGCGCTTGCCCCACACCTACTCGGTGTCAGGCTCTGGCATCCCCTTCGTCCGTCTCCTTCGGTCCTGGCTGCCCTCCCCATCCTGTATCTCACACCCGAGCTTCGCGGCACCCGAGACAGCCGACAACTTTACTGAGCCGGTTCCGAGCCTCAACTCTAGGTCTGTGCCCGAGCTCAGGCTCCGGGTAACACCCCTATGTCGGGACTAATCCCGCTGGCCAATCCGCGGCCCGAATGCTGGTGGCCTGCCCTTCCCTTATTTACATTCCACAGAGCAGCTTCATTTCTGGGTCTTCCGCGCCAGTCCCTTCTCCCGGAAGTTATTATACCCGAGGCGGAACCGGAAGCCCCTTTCAAGTGCGGGTGCCACGTCCGTCGCTGTGTTGCCGAGTCCCGGAGTGGGACCCTGGAGGGCACGATGGCTGATTGGACTCGCGGTGAGCGCATCCGAGGGTAGTAGGGATAGGAGGCGAGGTCCGGAACTGGAGGCATCGCTCAACTCTCGGTGGAGGGACCTGCGTGGGGTGGCGCTTAAGTGTTCTAGGAAAAACAGGTCTAGACTGCGGCTGGCGCTGGCTTGGGACCCAGGCCTGGGCATGACATCGGTTTTGTGTGTGATTGGTACTAGGGGCTGGGAACGGAGGGTCCAAATCGGGTTTTACTGATGAAGGGACTGAGTGCCTCCGTTCACCTCTCGGTGCCTGTGTTCTGTATGCCAGGTGTGATGCCTGGGCCACACTAATGACTACGCAGTGATTGACAGGACACAGAGTCCTTTCTATTAAAGTTTGGTCCCGTGTGTTTGCTGGTGCCGCTAGCCTTTCCCATACGTAGGTCACATCGAGGCTGATTTTTATGCCTCAGACCGGTGCCAGTAACAGTTGGGAGGCGATTCTCACACACCGTGACCGGCATTTTTTATATCTAGCTCCCGTCTATCCGAGTCAGTTTTCCACAGGCCCAGCACTCTGGAAAGGTCTCGCGTGGGTTGCAGAAATGGGCTCCGTAGTTTCTCCAGTGAGAGACCTTTTTTACACTTTTCCTGGACCTTATCCGCCGATCATCCCCACACAGCCTTCCTGTGACCTGTTTCGGTGTTCTGACCCCTACCAGAGTTTACTCTTTCCCTTTGTGACCAGTCCCACACACACTGATAGTGATTTCAGCTAAGGCAATGTTCATTCAGGTTCAGGAACAGTTTTACAGCAGAGTAGTATAGATTGAGCCTTCTGGTTCCTCTGCTGGTCCTTGCTTGGGCATGCACACAGGACATATGCTCACGTGACCCATGCTGCATGCCTGACAGATAGATGGTCCACCTGTTGGAACTCAGGGTGGAACCTGCTAAGTTAGCAGACATGGGCTGAATCTCTTTAGAGGTCTCACTAGGCCATACTCCACTGCAGTAAGGGGTCAGGGGCCACACTCTGTGAGTGAATACTACCCTTTACTCTCTCTTTTTGCAGCTCAGAGTTCTGGTGCTGTGGAGGAGATTCTAGACCGAGAGAACAAGCGGATGGCCGACAGCCTGGCTTCCAAGGTTACCAGGCTCAAATCGGTTAGTGATGGCCCTTACCCTTCTGTGTGGTACCTTGGTGAGTGGGGCTAAGAGGGTAGGAAGGCGGCCATGTGTTGTCTGTGGATACGCTGACATGAGTGATGCCTCAGGTTATACCTTGACCTTTGTAGCCTTTTCTGGTGATAGGTTCCTAGCAAGGTTGTGGGTCAAGTCTGACTGGTCTGAAGGATCTGACTGTGCCCTGTCTATATCCCAACCAGCTGGCCTTAGACATCGACAGGGACACGGAAGACCAGAACCGATACCTGGACGGCATGGTAAGCATCTACAGTTCCTACAGTGACAGTCAGCTATGTCCCACGCTGTCTGCTCTCCTGTCTCTACCCTTCGATGCTGGTGTGGTTGGGTAGTCAAGGGTCCCACCTCTATATGATCCTGTTGGGTCCCTCCTACAGGACTCAGATTTCACGAGTGTGACTGGCCTGCTCACGGGGAGTGTGAAGCGCTTTTCCACGATGGCAAGGTCTGGGCGAGACAACCGGAAGCTTCTGTGTGGTATGGCCGTGGCCTTAATCGTGGCCTTCTTCATCCTCTCCTACCTCTTGTCGAGGACAAGGACGTGAACCAATGGAAGCCAAGGGCAGCCAGGCTCTCCTACCCTGGTGTCCTGAAAACCTGACGACGAAATAGATTCCCTTGAAAGTATCATCATGGGTCATTCATCTTCCTAAGACGGGACGACTGCAGCTGCCTCTGTCATAATGAGCTCATGCTGGCTTGTCCTGTGTATGAAGGAGGAAGAAAAAAGGCAAAACCCAACCCTTCTCCCTGGTGCTGGAGACACTGTTAGAGCCAAAGCCATGCTGTGTAAAAATGAACCAGGTCTGAACAAAGCATCTATGAGTCCTGAATGTGCCCACTGTGATCAGCAGCCTCAGAAGCCAATATCTTAAGACTCTTCTGTTTTGCTCTAACCTGTCTATGTCTGGTTTAGACCGTGTCTGTGTTCTTGAAGAGTCTGGAGCTGACATCGGAAGGGGATATGTCCGTGAGCCCTCTTCAAATGAATGTTCGTCAGGATGAATTTTGCAGGAACTCCAGGCTGAGGCTGCTGATCCGGAACAGACCTGTGCAGGTCAAGAGTCAAAGCCATCCCCATGAGTCGTCAGCTGAAGGCAGACTCCAGAGAAGAGGCAAAGGTGTGGAGAGAGGAGTGGACTGCAGCCCTTGTTATCGGCTGTGGACCTTCTGGGCCACGAGACCATGTGTCCAGGAGCAGAGATGTATGTCCTTGGGATTGAGAATCTTCTCAGTGCCAAAGATGTCGCCATCCCCAAGCAAACAGACTGAGAAATAGCATAGTGTGGATTTTCAAAGTCCGGCAGTGCTGGAGTGGCCTTTCTGCCGGGGATCCTTATGAAGCTGAAGGCCACCTATGGGAGAATTTGTAGCAGGAACTTCTGACCTTGTACCAAACCTGTGCCCTATCCTGTTCAGCCAGCCTCCCTTGGTGTGGGGAAGCTTGAGTCACCTCCTTGTTGCACAACTGCACAGACTTGTACCTCCCTCCTCCCCCAGTCCTCCCTTCCTCCTTGGTCAGTCCCATTTGCACATAGCCTGACCTGTGGAGCTGGCAGGGCCAACGGTTTATGAGGGCCCAGCACTTTCTGTCTTCACATAAAATGTCTTTAAGGAATGAACCATGAAGTTCTGTGCCCTTCTCTGACCTTACTCATGTCTGTGTCTTCATCTCTCTGTCTGTCTCTCTCTCTCTCTCTCCCTGGCCCACTCACTGCCCACCCATGTGGCCGTACCACGAGACCCATCTGTCCAGAACCACTACCTCTGTCCACGTTCTGCTGTAGCTTGGCCTCTTGCCTGTAGCAGTGCCTTGCTGTTGGTGTGCTGAGGATGCACTAGGCACCGCCCCTTCTTCTTCCTTTACCGAGCAGCCTCTCTCTGCACACATTAACATTTGTCTGCCCGAGCCCTAAACCTGGAGAGGGGCCTATCCTGGCCCACCCTTTGTTTTGGCTCCTCCCCCCACCGGGTACAGCCTGCTCCACCCTGCTGCTCTGTAGCTTTGCTGTTTGCCCCACACACTTCCAGCTTGTGCCTCATTCCCACGGCAGGCACTCCAATCCTTGTCTCCCAGCATCCATGGGCCAGGGCTGTGCTCTGCCCTCCACTTGTCACCATGCATGTTAATAGCTGCCTGCATCCTTCCATCTGGACTCCCAGCAGGCATGTTCGTGCTTCCGATTTGTCTCTCTAGAGCCATGGACTGCTGCCTTCTACTCAGAATGCTGGGAAACCGTTAAACCCCAGGGTCCTTCGTTGTTTAGTTTTTGTGGGATAGTGGGTGGCTCTGCATCCCAGGCTGCACTTAAACTGTGTAGCCTAGGTTGGTCTCCAACCCATGATCCCCTGGCCTTAGCCTCCTGAATGGTGGTATTACGGTACATTACGGGCAGGTACATTCACACCTGGCTCTGCATTTGGGGTTAATGTTCTCTGGAGCAGCGTCCTTGCCGTCCTCTGTGAGACACGCACCCCCACCCAACATGGCTAGTTACTCCTCAGGTCTCCATCCTGCTCCACCGGTCTCCATGGCCGTTTGTAGTTCTCCAGCTACACTGGGCATCAGGCTTGCAGCGCTTGTGACCTTTAGCTGTTGTTCTTTCTGGCATTAATCACGGGAAGGGGAATGCCAACACCATAGCCACTGGGTCAGACCAACTTCCTGAAGGCCGTAACCATGTCCTCCAATTCAGGCCTGACACCTGGTGCTTCCCCTAACGTACGGGTGGGTCCTCAACACCAGCAAGTCATCAGAAGCCTTTGGTGCCCAGTGTGAGGGACCGTGAGCATGAGCTACAAGGTTCTTCATACAGTTGAAGGCCCCTTGCTAGTAAAATCTGGGAGTCAGTGTCTTCCTTGTGCTCATTTCCCAAGAATTTGAATTATTTGAGCCAGCCCTCTTCTGTGACTGGCCTTGGGCACTGATGTCTATTCTCCAGACTTCCAGGGATGCCTTCTTTTGCTTGGGCAGGACAGCCACAGACACCCACCAACTTCCTTCTGTGTGACCCCTCTTTGCCAATTTGAGAGTAAGGTGGTGATAGCATTCCCACCTAAGGAAGTAAGGGCAAGTTGGCTGGGACACACAGGCTTGTGCAGATGAGGTCCCCAGTGGTGTGTTGGATAAGGCCACTTGTTTTGCATGGACCTGCCTCAAAGTTGAGGTGACGTTGTATCCCTACTTTCTGAAGCTGGGCTTTGGACCCAGGAGAGCCTCTGTAGTCCTTGTCCTCAGGCCCAGCTGAGATGCCAGCTCTTGCACACATCCTCCTCCTGGCTGTGGGTGAGAAATAAGCTCCCCTAAGATTTGCATGTAATAGCAGTAAAGAGATCATGTCTTGTTACATTGTTCCTGTGGTCATAATTTGAGGTAGCACAGTGAAAATGACCACGTGTTCCGCCATGCGCAGGCCTTCCTGGGACATAGGCTGGAAGTGTGTCACTTTGAAAGCCTACAGGTCACTGCTGACATGAGCTGGATCCCTGGCTCTCAGAGAGAGCCTGAGTGTAGAGAGGAGAACCTTCGAAGGGCAGTTGAGATGTCGGGTGGAACTCTGAGCCCCAAGCCCTTCTACTTTCTCTGTAGGACCTCCAGGCTAGGAAGCCAAGACAGGGCCCCTCTGGACAAGTGTTGCCTTTTCTCCAAGATAAACCCTTATGAATGTAATCTGTGGTTTATTAAATAATTTGGACATGGCAGGAAACAAGATTAACAAACGAGATAGTATAGAGAAAAATAACTTGTCGAAACCGTCCAAACTAGTGTGCCCTATGGTGCAGGGCCAAGCTGGCAGTGGGTCCGTTGGTGAAGTGCCCAATCCATTGTCAGCCCAGCACATTTCTGAAGGAGGATCATGGTCGAGGGCTGATGGGAAGGAAAGGGGGCGCTATTCCACATCAACAACCAGAGGGGTCATGTAGTCAGAATGCTTGATGCCAAAGGTGACGACCGGGGCACAAGGCTTGTTCAAGAACACCTAAGAGGAGGAGGGGGAAGACTGTGAGGAGCATTCTTGACTTGGGGCTGTAGTGAGGGGCTCATTCCCTCCTGAACTTGGGGCCAAGGTTGCCAGTGTGAAGGCCATGCCGTGCTCAGTAACCTTAACTGTCACTGGGAACAGTGGACTGGCATCTGGGGATTAGAACCCAGATTTTCTATAACTGAAAGGTGACCATCAGGGCCACTGCTGGAAATGCACAAAATCCTAAGGGTGCAGGGTCCCCACTCATCTTTGCAGTGTCAGGCCCTCCCTACACACTCTGGACCATTTCCCAACCCCTATCTGACCCCTGTGGTTCCTGGACCTTCTCAGGGCTGTGGGCTCCTGGTCCTGGCTTCAGGGTCTTATCCCCTGGCGGCTCCACCCGGGCAGCCATCGTGTACTGTGGAGCCTTGAACTTGGTCACTTGGACATCAGTCTGACGGTATGCTGCAGGACCCGGAGTCTGGAAGAAGAGAGGACTCAGACAGACTTGGCTTTCCCAGGGCATGTGGCCCCAGAGGATAGGGTTAGATGTGGGACCTTGATTCACCAAAGAGAACTCTTAGGCTGTCTGCCAGCCATGGGAACACCACCATGGGGTGGGGTGTTCTATCAGTCTCAGCCTCACTGTGGCAGTGGCATTTCCAGTGTGCCGTCTTGTGCCCACTGCTCTGAGGGTAATGTGCAATGCCCTTTTCCTGTTGGGACAGGATCCTCTTGGTCTTGAGGGCAGAGGTCAGGGACTAGTAAAGTGGACTCCTGTAGTACTACTGAGTGTTGTGTGTCTGCTCCAGGGCCCTTGCATCAGCTGTTAATACAGATAAACATTTTCTCCCCCAAGGAGCTCAAGGCCTCCTCCCCCTTCTTCCTGGCTTCCACGTCCCCTATCTAAAATTAGTGTTTACCCTCCAGGCAGTACACCACACACACCTTAGCTTGTTCTCAGTATCATCCCACACCTAAGTTGGTCTCCTGGCCCCTCCCTACCACCGAATGTAGCCTGAGCATGTAACAGGCCCCCCAGAGGTGGAGGGGACGCAAGAGCTCCAACAGGGCAGTAGTTGTCTGGGGATTCTTGGGTCTCGGGGGAGAGGATCAGACAGGTCACTGTGGCCAAGCTTGGTACTCAGCCGGGGTGACCCTTGCCTTGTGCAGGTCGTCGCTGAAGCTGCCCAGCTTGCTCCGGCCCTTGATGGAGAAGGAGGGCTGGGAGACCTTGCCCACCGTGTGCGGCCCCATCACCACAGGCAACATGTATGCAGCAGGGCCTGTGGGTGATGGGGGAGCCTCAGGCTGTGAGAGACCCATTACCTCCTATCTGGGATACCCTCTACCTTTGCAAGTCCTATGTGGGGCTCCCCTTCCTCCGTGCTGGGACCCCAACTCCCATCCTATCCATTGGCTGGGATGCAGCAGACCTGGGGTGCTGTCTACTCGGAAGGTCTTGGTCCGGGCAGAAATGGAATGACTGGGTGCTGAGTCGAACACATGCTTGGTAGATTTCTCTGGAAAGTAATCGCCTGGAGAGGAGGGAGGGTGTGCAAGAACAAGCATTTGGGGGCTCTCTACCCACCCCCAACATTTGGGTGGCCCATGAAGGATGTCCCAACAGTTAAGACACAGGGCCCCTGGGTCCCAGCATTGTGGTTGAACAGATTTGGTCAGGGAAGTCCGCAGCAGAAATACTGGCGTGGGTGCTGTTTTCAAGCACTGGTGTGGGCCTTGTCCCTGGGCTCCGGGTAGAGTAGGACCGCTGGGTTTCAGGCTCTGCTGTGCAGGCCTGACGGTGTCCCCAGGAGCAGAAGGAATGAGGCTATCTGGCCTTCACATTTCAGGACATGCATATTAGGGCCTGGGGCAGGAGGTGTCACTCACCCGGGCCAGGGGTCAGCATGGTCTTGGTATGGTAGCGCCCCAGGATGGAGTAGGCGGGGCCAAGGTCCTTGCCAGTCCTCAGTATCTTGGGGTTCACACTGTAGCGGGGCCCTGGGGAGCAATTCTCCGCCAAGAGCATGGGAGCCCCACGGAAACTGTAGGCTGGTGCTCGAAGTTTGGTGGGTGTGTGCTTCACAAAGCCTGTGGGCACAGGGGCTCAGGGCTGCTGGAGCCAGACATCCTTCTCTCCACCGGGGAGTCAAGGATTGAGCCCAGACCCATCCCAGGCCACACCATTTCTGGCTTCTTCCCCTGTCCCCACCAAGTCCCAGGCCCTTAGGCAATCTTACCCGTGGTGGGTGGAATCAGGTACTTGGGTCCAGGACTGCTGTAGAGGGCCATGATGGGCCCCCGGGGGCGATGGGGCCTCCAACTGCCCACCCATACCTCCTCTGTCATGGTTGGCTCTGTCCATGGACAAGAGGGTGACCAGGTGCTGGTATGCCCTGTACCACTTCATCCCTGGCCCTTATGTCCCCATTTCTGGTTCTGCTGATGCTACATCTTGCAAGCCCAGTCCTTGCCCCATGGAGACATGAGGGTCTTAAGCAGCTCCAAGCAGAGGGAGCTCCCCATTGGTGTGGTAAGCTAACCCTTAACCCAGCTCCAAGATACGGATGGGAGTCGTGCCTTCAAGATAGGCCCAGAGGGGCTGCCCACTCTGGCCCTGAATTGACTATAGTCTTGGCTTTGGGGTAGCAAAACCAGGGAGAGAACCCTGGGTGCAACTTTGCAAAGACATGGCTGGTAAGGGTCAAGAGCTTCTTGACTGAGCTGTGTCATGGGCAAGAGGGGAGCAATAGGGAGGCCTCACCTCCTCTGTGCAGGAATGGGCTTAGAGCAGCTTGGGACCCAGCCGCCTCACCGGTGGCCTGTCCCCCTGGCGTCTGTGCCAGGCAGTTCCCTAAAAAGGAGCATGGAGAGAAAGCTTCCCTCTTTCCCCCAGTTTTGAGAACTGGGGAGGGGTCTCTGCCCCTGAGCTCTAGAATGTGGCTCTGTCCCACAAAGGAGTTCTAGATCACTGTGTGTGTGATGGAGACAATGGCCTCTGCCTGAGGCATCTCATCAGAGCTTACCCTTTCCAGAGACCCTGTCTTTAGGGAACCACCGCCCTCTCCAGGGACTTTCCCTTTTGGGGGTACCTATATCTCCAGGGACCACATGCCTATCAGGAACTCCTACCTCTTTAGGGACTCCTGTCTCTCCAAGGAGCCCCCCACCCTCTCTAGATAACTCCACCTTCCAGAGACACCCCCACCTCTTCAGGGACCCCCTTATTCTCCAGGTTCTTCAACTCTTTGTGGTGGCAAGCTTGCAGGTTGTCCCAAACGTTGGCCCACAAGAATCTGCTGGTTTGGGGAAACTGGGAGACAGGTAGGCTCTGGGGGTCTGGGGGTCTGGGAGTACGGGGTTGGGTTGGAGGCTGTGGTGGGCTTCCCTAGAGAGGCTGCTCTCTCCTACACTTCCTCAGACCCCACTGCCCTTCCAGCTGTCTTGCTGGCAAAGCCCACCTTTCAGGACCCTTGGGTGCTCTTGCGAGCCCTCAGGGCTTCCCTTCTTGACCTCTTTTGGCTCCTCTTAGAGTTCTGGCTCAGCTCGGGCTCTCTTTCCTGGGGCGATTTTAGGGAGAGAGATTGTTTCCAGAGCTTCCAAGGCCTGTGTACAGCTGGCTGTGCTATTGCCCGATTTTTCTATGCATAGCACCTGTGAGGAATCACCAGCCCCCACGGAGCCCTCAGCCTGACCCAGTCCTCCCTTCCTGGGTTAGGCTCCTCCACCTCCCTACTGTAGGCCCCATTCCTCCCGTGTTTCACATGCTACCCTGAGGCTGCTCTCACACTTTGCTTCTGGGAAGTGACCCCACACAGGAGTCTGTATCTCTGGTGTATCCCTCAGGTTGTCCTTGATAGGACATTTGTGTGTTCCTGTATTGCAGGGAGAGAGAGAGAGAGAGAGAGAGAGAGAGAGAGAGAGAGAGAGAGAGAAGCCAGTGCCCGAGCTGCAGGAGGCTTTATTGATTTAACAGTTCGAGGGTGAATTGATTAGTGAGGAAGCGGTGGTCTTGGCTCATCCACGGCCGCTTGTGGGGCTGGTCCTGTCGTTCATAGAAGCCAAACCATGTCTCCCAGGCTTGCTTATGTGTCCTCTTGCTCATCTAGCACTTGCACCTGAAAGAGAAGTGTGTGGGGACCAGGAGAGCAGGTAACCAATAGCCAGAGCCACCAGTCCCCGAGGCAGACAGGCCTGTGCACCCCGACGGAGTAGACAGGTTCTGCACACTGTGGCCTACCCCTCCTAGCACTCTGTGGAGCTGTGCGCAGATGCACTGCCTGTGTGGGACATAGTCCTTGGGGGAAGCAGGACTAAGGGACTCCGGAGGCTTCTCTGTGAGGTCCCCACTTCAGTTTGCTGATGTAGGTCTGGGGGTGGGGTGGGCATAGACTGGCGATCAGGTACCAGGCATGGGTGGGTCTCGGGAGAACTGGGGGTATTTGGGGATGGGAGTCCCAGCCCAGTTACCAGCAGCTTGACCAGTTGTTCCTTATGCACGGGCTGCAGGCCGTCGATGCAGGACTTGAGCTCTCCCAGGGCTTCCTTGGCCATATCATTGACATTGTACTTGCCCAGGGGTCCTTCATAGAGCTCTTCTGTGGTCCCCACCAGGAGCGTTTGCAGGAATTCCATGAAGAACTCATTGTCATCCTCCGCGGTGGTCAGCCCTGCGTGGCGAGGGGGATAGAGCCAAGGGAGGGACTCACTCTCCTTCGCTGTCTGTCTCACATCTTCCTGTCACTCCCAGGACCACCATCTGCAGAGCCCTTCCCCATTACCACTAGTGGGAGCTGCTGTGGTTTCCCCTCTATGAGTTCCTGACCTCATCAGGGAAGAACAGTTGTGCCCTGAGACAGGGGATTTCTTCCCCTGGGCTAGCTGGATTCAGAGGACCTGGGCAAGTTGGGTTGAGCCAGGGTGGGTGACGGTGTCCTTGGTGGTCGGTTAGCGTTAGGTCAGGTTGTGGTGGGATGGGACTGGGATCAACAGATTCCCCTGCATTTTGCGGTTGGGGTCTGTGATGTAGAGAGGCGTTGTCCACCTGATGCCAGGATTTCGGTCCCTTGGAAGTGCCAGAAGTAAGGAAGGCCTAGACTTACCACAGATGCAGAGCAGGGTTAGAGTCACCAACAGCAGAGCGCCGCTCCCCTTCATGGCGACAGTCTCAAGAACGGCGTAGGGGATACCAGGCTTTTATGCTTTAGCAGGTGGCAACTTGCCCAGGGGCGGGCCATGTCTCTCAGGACCTGTCAGACCAACTGGGCCAGGCCTGTCACTGTGCTCCCCCAGGTGCCAAGAAGTGGCAGGCTTGAGTGGATCATAAGGGGGCTGTTGGCAAACAAGTCGGGGTAAGTGGAATACATCCCAGAGAGGGCGAACCAAGTGCCAGTTAACAGAGAGGAGTGCCAAAGGCCATGGGTGGCCTCCGGGATGCAGTGACAGGTTCTGGGACGGGTCCAGATCTTTCTTTGGGGTTGAGACCTCCCCACCTCTGCTTAATGAACTGCCTAGTTCTAGTCTGCATTTGGAGAGGGGTAGGCTGAGGCCACCCTGCTCCTATAGGCAAGAGAGGAGCCTGGGCACATGAGGTCGGAGGGGTGGGGGCTTTCTAGGGTTGGGGGGACCCAGGGCCACTGGAGGTCTGAAGTTGGAGGCAGTGTCCAACAGAGGTAGGTTGGCGGGGAAGAGTTGCGACTGGGCGTTGTCCTGTCTCTCTCCTATCCTCTGCTGCCACCTGGTGGCGTAATGGTCTCTCCTACATGGTGCAGGTTGCAGATGCTGCTCAGACCCAGAAGGCCCCTCCTTCAACACAGAATTCTCCCTCTACCCACAATCGGAGCCCTATTCCATGTCTGAACAGGGCATCATGGTGTCCTTCCCTTGCTTAGACTTAGCCTTGTGTGTGCTCTGCCAGACATAAGCCCCAGAACACGGCTCTATGCCCCTCAAGCACTGCCTCAATGGCAGTAGTTCCTGCCTTTCTTAGACTCCTGTTCATAATGAATGTTTGCTAACCTCCTGCTAGATGAAATTAATCTATAGCGATGGAACCTGTTTATGTGTATAAGTCTACAAATGTGGGAGCGAGCCCCTCCCCTCATGCACACCCCGCCCGTACCCGGGTTCTGCTACGGCTGTTCTGGATGTTCAGTACACGAACTGGACATGGTGAATCAGATGATCAGGTGCAAGGCTTCAGTCACCTGCGAGGCTGGAAAGCCTCTCTCCATAGGGGAGATAGAAGCAGCACCTCCGAAGGCTCATGAAGTTCAGATTACGATCGTTGACACTGTTGTTTGCACACGGATCCCTATACCCTGTGCAAGCGATGCCTGTACCCTGAGTGGGGCTGATCCTGAAGGGTGTTTCCTGGTGATCTTGGGACATGAAGATGCTGGAATTGTGGAAAGCATTGGTGAAGGGGTTACTAAGCTAAACACAGGTGATACTGTCATCCCAATTTACTTCCTACAGTGTGGAGAATGCAAATTTTGTCTGAATCCTAAAACAAACCTTTGCCAGAAAACAAGAGTTGTTCAGGGCAAGGGTTAATGCCAGATGGTGCTAGCAGATTTACCTGCAAAGGAGACTCTGTTTTTCTTTTAAAAAATTCTGTCTCCACAGCTTTTATTTTTTTTTAATTTATTTATTGTGTACAGTGTTCTGTCTGCATGTATGTCTGTACACCAGAAGAGGGCACCAGATCTCATTATAGATGGTTGTGAGCTACCATGTGGTTGCTAGGAATTGAACGGAGGACTTCTGGAAGAGCAGCCAGTGCTCGTAACCACTGAGTCATCTTCTCAGCCAGGAAAGTCTATTTTTCATTTCATGGGAACCAGCACATTTTCCAAGTACTCAGTTATGACTGACATCTCTGTTATAACTTCAGGGCCTTTGGATAAAATCTGCCTTCTTGGTGATAGCATTTCAATTGGCTATGATGCTGCTATGAATACTGCCAAGGGTCTACTGTTGCAGTCTTTGGTGGTATGGGAGGCATTGAATTGAGTGGTCATGGGCTGTAAAGTGGCTGGTGCAACATGGATCACGGTGTTGACATCAATAAAGATAAATTCTCACCTGGGCAGTGGTGGCACATGCCTTTAATCCCAGCACTTGGGCAGGCAGATGCAGATCTCTGTGAGTTCAAGGCCAGCCTGGTCTACAAAGTGAGTTCGAGGACAGCCAGGACTGTTACACAGAGAAACCTTGTCTCGAAAAACCGAAGGAGGGGGCTGGAGAGATGGCTCAGAGGTTAAGAGCACTGCCTGCTCTTCCAAAGGTTCTGAGTTCAATTCCCAGCAACCACATGGTGGCTCACAACCATCTGTAATGAGATCTGGTGCCCTCTTCTAGCCTGCAGGCAGACATGCAGGCAGAGTACTGAATAATGTATGCATAATAAATAAATGTAAAAAAAACAAAAGAAACAAAAAGATAAATTTTCAAAGGTTCAAGAATTTGGAGTCTCTGAATATATAAAGCCATCCAGAAAGTTCTCATGAGATGGCAGACGGGGGAGATGGACAAAGGAGATGGACCACTCCTTTGAGGTACCCACAAGATGAAGGTCACGAGAGCAGCCCTTGAGGCAGCCCATGGAGGCTGGGGAGTCAGTGTGATGGTTGGCATAGCCGCTTCAGGTGAAGAAATCGCTGCTTGTCCATTCCAGCTGGTGACAGGACATGCGTGGAAAGAAAAGCATAGTGTGTCCCAAAGCTGGTGGCTGAATATATGTCCAGAACAATAAAAATCAATGAATTCATGACTGGCAATGAGTCTTCCGACCAAACTGACAAAGTCTTTGGCCTGAGGCAACGTGTGTGTGTGTGTGTGTGTGTGTGTGTGTGTGTGTGTGTGTGTGTG